TGGTATTTAAAATTAATAATAAAACAAATAATGTCAAGCTTATGTGCAAAAAATTCATTAAATATTTTTTCTGAATAAAATGTAATGTTATTTCTCTTTTTTTAACGTAACTACCAATACTTTTATAATACAAATTATATCATACATATTATTTACTAATATCATACATTTAAAATGGTTTAATCAATGCAAAAGCTTTTTAAACTTGGCTGGCTTTCATCATGGTTTTAATTACGAATCAATTTATAAATGTAAAATTATGCTACATATTTACAAGAAAATTGCGCGCCCTTTTGCATTTTTCAAATGGATTTTAGCGGACTTTTGTTACATATACATATACATATATATATATATATGATATATATATATATGTGTTTGGGCTTATATATATTTTTTAATTCATCCGGCCGCATAAAAGCAAAAGGCAGGCAACAACAAATGTAATAAGCGCACTCAGCCAAAAGCAAATACATAAAATGCGACCCAAACGCATTATTTCTTTACCCTGTAAATAACAGTGCAAATGGTTGTGCTGATTTGTGCTGTGATCCAGATTAAATATTGTTTTAATTTGAAAATTAAGTAAATAAATTTTCAAATATGTTGTCAAGCAGATGAATTATTATTAGAGCTCACAAAATGTTTCCCTAACAAACAGATATACAGGGTAGCGGGCAGTCGGACAGACGTGCTTTTTTTTGACATTGAACGCAAAATTAAGGACAAGATTCCGCAACGGCTAATGGTAGGCTAGAAGCGCTGTCAGCTTCCATTGATATGAAAATAAACACACGACGCTAATCAAATGTAAGCTCATTTAATGTTTAAATAAACAGAAATGAATACTCAGATCTGCGATGAGTGCTCGTCTGTGAGTGTGAGTGCGAATGCGTGTCTATTTGTTTCTCTGATTAAATGCTGCATAAATATTTAATATGAATTACTTTCATGACGTCCCAAATGGCATTTAATTAGCTAGCAAAATACACTTCAATAAAAACCAAAAACAAAAACGTTCTCAAATAAAAACTTTGCCAGCACACAAAACAAAGCAAAAAAAAGAAACTCATGCGTTGGCGGCGGCCACTTGAAAAATATAACATCAATTTTATTATTGAGCAAAAGCGGGCGCCACAAGCCCAGCGAGTGGCTCAGTTCCAGACCCGACGGGACAAAAAAAAACGAATGGAGCTCGACTCGACAGACTGCGGGATTTGTTTGTGATTTTTGTTTGTATTTTTGTTTATTTCAAGTAAGCTCCCGTTTTATTCCCTTTGAAGTGGCACTGAGAGTCTCGCAAAGTCTCCAGTTGGAGCAGCGGCATTTCTCAGCCATCGCATTTGAGTAAGCGATATAAACTCAAAGCCATGTTTATGACGGCCACTGTGGCATAATTCCTGTGTAAAGACCTTAAAGCATTTTTTAATAATTTTTTATTGTCAACATTTTGAAAAGTTTTGCCAGCCAGACAACATTTTTGTCGCGTCTTTGGGACCTCAACTTTGTTTGTTGTGCCCCGTGGCTTAACTTTAATTTCTTAATTCAGTCTGCGTTTGGATTTGCTTGAAAAAATTTATAAATAAACCACTCAAAGGCATAAAAACATAGTATCTTAAATTGAAATATAAAGCTGATGTTAAAACTCGTATGAAAGAAAATATACATAAAATAATGCTTCATATTAATAACAATTTGAGTGTTGCTTAATGTAATAACAGAATATTCCTTTTAAAAATTAAAACAATTAAATTTTTTGTTTCAATTTATACTGTAATTTTATACAAAAACATTATTGGAAACATTAAGCTGCTTTATAACGAACTCGTTAATTTAACAAGCCACTTATTTTTCTTTGACGAATTATTTTTATGGCGGAAAACTGAATTTGGCTTTGTGAAATAATAGTGAAGATTTTCTATAGAGGATTTCATGTGCATATTCATATATACACCTACATTGTATTATTTTGAACAATTTTTCATATTTGTTTGTAATCCCTGCAATAATTAAAATTGGCTAAAAAGTTTTTCGTAATCCTAAATTTTATTGTTATTGTTGCTTTTCATTCGAAATACAAAAATTCTGAATATTGAATTTATGTTGTCTGTACAAAAGAAAAATAAAAAGAAAATATCATAATCCCTAAAAGGTTAACAAAAACAATTTAAACAAGTGCTCGGAATAAAGCTTTGATATTTAGCTTATTCAAAATATTTATTTGTGTATTTTTGTATTATTTTTATATGTATATAAATATTGTATATTTAATCAATTGCTTTTGCATTGTACAATTTTTATCAGGTAATTTCCCAGTCAAGCAACTCACAAACGAAGCATTTTGCGCAAATTTTTTTCTCGACAACGCAAAATATTCATTTAATTTGCCATATGTATGAATATGAATATGAGCAAAAAAAAATATTTAGCAATTTAAGTGAGCGCAATGCAACGTATGTGCAGCTAAAAAAACAACGGAAATAAACGATGGATGAAAAAGGAAATGGAATTGAATTGTCACAGCTGCAATTTTTCAACTGTCAAATCAAAACATAAAACCAATTACTTTTAATGATTAATTACTTTTGGAGAAGCGTCACGGAGCAAATGTTGAAAACCACAAAATGATTTTGATTACGAGCAGGGCTGCAGTCAACTTTGATTTGATTTATGATGCGCATAACCCTTTTGACAAACACACACCGTCTCCAGACGCACGCCCGCAACCATACTCTTCATTTGTTATGAACTTAAGCCTAGCCCGACGACATGCGATTCACCTTAAAATTCATAAGTTTGTCAAGCGAAATTTACACACTCACGCACTCACACACACACACACACAGCCGCAAGTAAAACAGCAGCTGCATGTCATTAACAATATGAGCCCAAGACATAATCCCCCGCGCAACATGGCGTATACGTAATACAGGCGCCAAACTTTTCAGCGCTTCATTTTTTAAACATTTAACGCACACACACACACGCACATACACTCACAGAAGCCTTTGCGTGTGCGTGGCAACAACTTTTCTTACTTTCGAGCTATGTTTTCTATGGCCGTGTTTTTATTTTTACCCATTTTAGTTGTCATCAAGGCTGCGGATTATGCGCCCCCAAAATGTGAGTTTATGTTTAAAATTATGCAAAAGCGGGGCAATGAAAATGCTGATGAGACGGGCTGTTGCTGATAATGTTTATGCTGATGATAATGATGCCGCATAACACCAAACCAAATGGAATTCGGTTGAGGCAGAAAAAGGGATAAACATAACTGCGTTCTTTATATGGTTTTTGTCAAAGCAAAAAAAACTAAAAGAGTAACCAAATATTTTAATTACATTCGGCCACAAGTGACCCAAATAGGGGGTTACTTTGCAACCCTTTCGGCCAAGTGCTTCAGCTGCTTAACTGACCATGCTGACAGAAACACGCTCTTTCATCATATTAACCCCAGTTTACTTGAGCATGACGAATGAGTTTCTCAAGTTTGCCAATTTTAATATCAATTTTAAAGCTGTACCAGCTGCAATATCCAAAAAGTTTAACCATATAATATGGCAAAAGTAATTTAATGTTGATTATGGCCAACCTGTTGGCTAATATATAGGTAATATATAATGTCCTTTATTGGAACTGTCAACAATTTATGTGCCACATTCAGCGCGCTAGTCCAAAACCCATAAAATTTTGTTTTATGTACAGGAATTTCGAAGCGCTAATTTATGGACCAAATCGTTGGCAAATTATGAGCTGCGTTTCGAAGTGCTTTAGGAAATGAATTAGGAATCGATTTGCAAAAATTGTACACACTTTATGTAGCAAGTTCTTAAGCACTTGTCGGCTTTGAATTACTTGCGGTTGACTGTAATTGACGGTTGTTTATCACGAGTTCTATAAATGGAAGCCCTTTAAAAGCGGAAGAGCCGACATGTGATATATGCACATATATATCCGTAGGTTTTATAGGCTTATTGATTTTGCGGTTTACTTGAGACATTGGCGCAGGTGTCAATTGATTAGAGCTTAAGGTTTATTGATGAGTACTTTTCAATGTAAGCCAAAGAAAAATATAGGTAGAAGAAATTATGAGAAATGACAGGTGCTTATCGTATTGATTGGATCAACTATTTTCAGGTAATTATCTCTTATTTAACTCTAAATTTAGTACGTCTGGGTTATGCTCCCAGCTTTGGAAGCTTGTTGGGAGTCAACATGGCCAATGTTTAAAATAACAAAGCTAAGGCATATGTATATATTAACTAATTAAAACTAGCATGTTAATTGGGGTAACCATTTTAGGACACACTTAATTACCTATAAATTGAATAGGTCTAAATTTAAGTCCGAAAATTAAAAGCAAGTTGAGCGTCAACATTGACAAAGTATTTAAAACATAGGACTTTAAATATGCGCTTCAAAACAAAGCGTGCAATATATTCAAAATATGCACAATTTGGGTTTCAATTTATATCAGAAACTTCACTTTTTTTTGCATAAATATTTAAATACATATTCCTACATATTAAACAACGGATCAAATTTTTTATTTTGTTAATTCAGTTCTTTTCATGTGTGAAAAAACAAAAAGTTAAATTTAATTAACCATGTGTATTTAATCAAGTGTAATTAATCATTTCTCATTGTTGTCTAGACTTAGAGGAGTTCAATTAAAGTTTATAATAACTTATATTTGCTGTTAACAATAAAGTTTGTAGAAAATAGTAGATTTATTTAGATTTAAAAGAATTTAAAAATGTTTTGCATTAAAAAATATAGTGCAATACAAATTTATTATATTTGATACTTATTAAACTTTTTAGCGTAAAGTGGACTGAATAATTTTTTATTTACAAAGTTTCCCAAACAGAAAATGGGCTAAATATCTTAAGCTACATTTTAATCTTGTAAACCGTATACAACACATTTTATTTAAAGAACAGTAGCTGCATCTTCATTTTAAATATCTATTAAATTCAAAAATTTTACGTTGAACCTACCTAAATGTGCAACGGCATGTAAATCGAAAAATTACGAAAAATGTCAGTTCACATCACGCCTCCTGCGGCAGGCTGTTGTTAATCATGGCACACACGCACACACTCTAATCTAGTTGGCTGTTGTTGCAAAAATATTCAAATGAGTTACGGGCTGCCAATAAATGAAAAATATGTTACGGGCGGGCTTGCAGACCCAAGACAGCACGCAACAACAATAACACGAACTATGCACAAATATGCCTTAATTTCTTAATTCAGAATACACTTGTGTCACTTGAACTTGGGTCTAGTTCTTGAACACGAACTGCACTTTGATGAACTTTTTATCAAGAGTATTTGCCAGGCTTCGAAATCTCGCGAAGACGTGACTTCAAAACTGAACCGAAGCCAACGTCTGAACGAACGACATCCGCACTGAACGAATGAAAAACGAATACTGACTCCGGGATTGAATGCAATGAAAGTTAAGAACTGTCACGCAAGCTCGAGCACGTTCGAACAAGTTGCAAGCGCACATGTTTGCACAACTTCGAGCCGAGTCGAGGCGAGCCGAGACGAGTTCTTCGCCTATTCTATGTTTTTTTGCTTCGGCTATCGCTGCTTATGATCATTGGCTCCATTACGAGTCAATGAACACGAATAGGAAACGAATGCAGATTCTTTTTAGACATTTAATCACAGCTAAGCGAAACACTATCCCATCAGAAGATTATGGCAAATATATTGACGAATTTTGAATACTACAGCATCATTAGCAGACATTGTAGACGGGTGGGTCGGGCCCAGTGTAGTCAGGACTAAACATTAAACATAATGCTGCTGCTAGACAGAAAATATAAATAATTAAAAAAATAAAAAGGCTATCAAAATCTCACCACGGATCTTTAAGTCCCAAACATTGACATGACTTTCTGGACGGACAACTTTTATCGGACAGCCAATTTACGTGTAGACTGAATAAATTTAGGATAACAACTAAAACTATATTTTAACATATATAAGACAGCAGCTACAATGACAACATTATGCTGACAAACATGTTAACAAAATAAGCACATGATTAATATATATATAGGATATTATTATATATATTATTTTAATAATTAAACATTATGTCTACCTACTTCATTGTTTCGTTGCCGAAATGACTTGGATACTAGGAACTACTAACTGCTTATATTTTATAGGATTTTGTTCGTCTAATTTTAAATAAAAAATATATAAGGACAGCAAAAACTAAGACATTGTAAGGAAGCTTGTGGCTGCCGACACGTGAAGCACGCAAAGCAATGAAAATTCCGACCTGCCGCAATAAATTCCGCGCGCGTCTGCCAAAATGAGAGTGAAATATCCTGTGCACACACACACACACAGAGACAGACAACACACAGAAGGACTAACTTGAAGAGCGACACACAGGAATAACCGCCGTGTGCGTGTCTCTGTGTGTGTGTTTTGTGCGCGCCATAAATCGCGCTAAGCCAAAACAAAACATAGCTGGCCAAGTCCCAGCGAACAGCATCATGCATCAGGCATCAGGCAGGTGGATGCCACAGCCTTTGACCTGACACAATGCTCTACATTCGATGTTTTTATCCCCCGCCCCAACTCAAGTAGCGGCGCGGTTCGAGATGCGCCTGCGCCGTGGCAGCTCGAACCGAACAGCTGTTTAGAGCCTCAAGTCCTTACCTAGGACAACACAACCAACGCTGGGTCCTTGCAGCATCCAATCTTGGCGATAAACAATGCATAGTTTTACATATTTTATTTATTGTTTTTTATTGTCCAAATATGTGTGAGGCAATAGCCAAACATATCTTCAGCCGTAATGCCACCAAGTGTGAAGTACTTATATTTCTTTAAACGATCCTTATGTTTCTATATTTTGGTAGAGCTTACCGAAGTATATATGCCATTTACCAGCCGCATGGGCAAGAAGTGCAACAGGGACTGCCACATGGTCCGCAGGGCCCACAGCAAGAACCACACGGACCACAAGGACCGCAAGGACCACAGGACGGGCCACAGGACGGGCCACAGGACGGGCCACAGCATGGACCACAGGACGGGCCACAGCATGGACCACAGGACGGGCCACAGCATGGACTACAGCCTTTGCTCGCTGGTGCCAGACATCCAGGAGGGCAGGGTCCAACATAGAAAGGATCAAATTTGCAAACAATAAGCATATTTAAATCCTATTTGAACAGCTGCGTCTCCTTCCTGGTAATTTATATATACTAAATGCAGATTATTAGTCTTGAATACAAATATAAATTATTATAGAAAAATGACTGCTCACTCGAGTTTTTAATTTTAGGCCGAAGATATGTGTGATTATTATTTCCTTAAGGTGTTTATGAACAGAAAATTTTGAAAATAATGAGCTCTCTTGAGCCAGACGAAACTACGAGAGCAAACTAGTTTATTCAAGGCCTACTAGTCGTACATTTTTTTTTTAGAAATAATTACTCTTGGCAAAGTTGTTAGGAATAGATTATATTCATGCATTTGATTTAATGATGCATGCTGCAGATTATTTTGCGATTAATATTGCAATATACGTTGCCTAAAATTCAGTACAGAGTAGAGTTCCCTATGACAGACATTTCCCTTTTTACGTAACGCTATCTACAGTATTTACCCACGGCCTTAAAAATGTAATTGGAGAAAGATGTCCAGGCTTCTGGCCAGTTGAAAATGAAGAGCGCAAGTGGAAATAGATTTACATTTACATTTATTTATAGTTTTATATTTTTATAATTTTTTTTTGGTTTATTTAAACAGTATTGAGCATTGTGAATAGATGCACATATCCTCAGCCGTAGTTGAAAGCAACTGTAAATGTATCTCAACCAGCTAGATTAACAGTTGCGGCAGTTAGCACCATGGCCAGCAGGGACCAGAACACCGGGTGGGCAAGGTCCAACGTAGAATGGATCGAATTTGCAAACGATATACATTTTGACGGATGTTTGTTTGGCAGTAACGAGTCCTTATTGGTAAATAAAATATTCCTGCTGCCCTTGCAATTGGTTGACAAAAAATGTATTTTATATTTCATAGTCGAATACTTACTTGGCTTGCTTTTCTATTTTGGGCTGAAGATATGTGTTATACGATTAATTTTCTACTTTTGCATTTTTTGTTGTTGACTGCCTGAATTGTTAGAAAATAATGAGCTTCCCAGGGAGAGGCAAAGCCTCTAGAGAAAATTAACTTCATAGAAGCCTACTAGGTTTTCTTACATTTTAGAAAACAATTGGCCGAGTCGATTTGCCGACTATGTTTCAATAGTTTTAATATCGATATAGAGAATGCGCTTTTCAACCAAATCATTGGACAAATGGGATAATTGAGTATTCTGGTAAATACATAACATATACATAACGATAACAATAAAAATAGCTATATTATTAATGTTCACAATAACAATAATGATTATATCTGCGATCACATAAAACAATGTGGAGCTCATCCACCTAGAAGAGGAACCTTAAATAAAATCCGAAAAGAAAAATATTTCGTCCGTATTCAAGATTAATCTAACCAAATATTCAAATTAGGGCATCTTTTTAAAACAGTGAACATAATTTTAAATATTTTTATTTATTGAGAATTTTGAAATGAACATTAGGTAGATGGTAAATATAATCACATATATCTTCAGCCGTAGCTAGAGCAAATTCCACTTGGTCATAAGCGTCATTTTAGAAGCTATTAAGGGCTATTACACCAGTAGGTTTAATTGAGCACCCTAACTAGGCTGATCGCCCAGCTCAGCAGCATCCGTTACCGCAGCAGCCGCCACAGGGACGGCAGCTGGCACCGCCGCCAGCGGGCACAAGACATCCAGGAGGGCAGGGTCCAACATAGAACGGATCAAATTTGCAAACGATATACATATTTAAATTCCGAAATTCGCAGCTAGAAGTCCTTGTTGGCTAAAATTGTACTACAGCTGAAAGAAGGAAATAAATAAATGTATATTATAAAGATAGAAAAACATATATATATATATAGTATTACTCACATGATATTATTTTTTTAGGCCAAAAATGTATGTGAATATCAGTTCCAGACAGTTTTGATTTTTTGTTATTTTTTTAAATCATTCTATATATGTTCACTAGCCGAAATATTGGGAAGGAATGAGCTCAACTACAAAACAAACGACGCAGCTGTCAAAGCAAGACCAGTTCCACTTTCCAAAGTCGACTTTGTTGTACAACATTTCCATTAATAAAACATTGTGACTGAACTGGATTTGATTTGATAGCTCTCCACTTGCATTTTGTATGACTGTATATGTGTTTCACTTCATGGATTTATCCGTAGTCTTTGCCATAAACTTTGGAGGTACAACGGCAGTAAGTGAATCTAGCGGACAGAGCAAGTATAAAACGATGAAAATTATCAATAGTTTCCTTTTTCTTTCGGGCTTTCGCAGCTTGTCCACTTATGGCCACTGTACTGTTGCACATTTATAGTCTGCCATGGTTGATGTTTTGGATTAAGACGATTGAGCATCGGCGCTAGCAAAGAGCTCCATGATCTTATAAATGCATTGACCTGTTTTCTTGACGACGGAACAGGGACCATGGATAATCTCACAATTAATGAAGGGAATCTGCTGACCGGGTGCAACGCGTTCGATGGCCTTAGCGCCTTGATTGACCAGTTCGCAAAATGGTGTCGCGGCATTAACCAGCACCTGAGATGTCGTGTGTGTCATAGTAATTAACAATGCCAGAGCTCCAATCACTCCAACACAGGTGTGCGCAGTTTCCATAGCAAACAGGACTTGTTCGTTATTTCCGGTCCAGTCACGGAGAGCTATCATCCAAGCATTGCTTCACACTTGAAATTTTATTAACAAATTCCGCATCGTGTGTTTTGAAAGTCAAGTCAAAGCGCTGCTGATTAACCGCCCAAATGTGCCATCACATCTACAACTGCGCTGAGCAGACAACGAAACCTGTTGCATATCTCTATCAAAGCCTCGTCCATGCATGCCGCATCCAGTGTAGGCCCAGTTTCACGTTGAGCCTGTGTAAAAGACTGATGCACCTCTAGGATTGCACTGCGCACCGCTGGCAGCATTTGATCCATTGTACACGACTTAAGGGCTTCCATGGCTTAACAAGTGTCTTTTGTATATAAAAACAGGCACTGAGCTGGACTTAATTTATCAACACTTAAAACACAAATGCACCAAACACGCCTACATATCTGAAACTTTTGTTAAGATTCTTTTTTTGACTGATTTGTTTTATTTTTGCCATTTTAAAGACATGACGCCGAGTTCAGAGTCAACTAGAATCTATTTTTCAACACAGAAAAATCGGAATCAAGAATGGCTTAGCAGAATTGTTGCATCAAGAATCGATCAACAAAATGCCTTCTGCTGCTTAACAAAATAGCAATTTTTAACCATTCGGCAATTAAAATCTTGTTCTTATTTTGTACCAAGAAATAACTTTTCATTTTTGCCTCCGGCTAAGACAATGCAATATCCATACACTAGCTTGAGAATCGCTTCGGAATTCAATTTAATCTGTAATCCTATAACCGAAATCCAAAATCAATCAATTCTCTTCGGAGTTTGCCAACTTTGTGCATCGGAATCAGTTTTCATCATATTTCAACTGGACATTTTTTGCTTTATTGCTTTTTTCTAGCCAGGTTTCTTAAATTCAATTATAAATTTCAAACTATTTTGAACACTTGCTGCCCGTCTGGCTCTCTTCATCTAAATCAGTCACGCATTTTCTTCTCTCGGCCATACCCCTGCAGCGATCGCTCCAGCCGCATTGCGCATAGCCCGAGTATATGCCAAATGGACACGAAGTACAAGCTTTTTCGGGATATGGACCGAGGTAAAAGGGATTCATGCTTTCACGTTGACAGCGGGGACCAACCATTTTCCAGAATGTACAATTTCTAATGATTTTTGTTCAGGCTACAAAAAAACTTTCCAGTCTCTTAAAAATTTTATAGTCTGCAGAAAATATTTCTCATACTCTATACTCGAGCTAAGCGGCAAAGGTAGCTAGATTTCTTTACATTTTTAATTTTTATCACAGCATTTTTTAGCAATTTCAACAGATTCTCAGCATAGTTGCTTAACATACAATTAACAGTTTACTGTTAACTCCGCATTACTGTTAATCAAAACTCAATGTTAGATTTGTACTTAAATTACATTTATTTTATTCTAAATATGGTTAATTTGTATTTGTTGGAGTTGAGGATGGGCATGGTGGGTCCGATTTATTGTTACCAGCTTCAAAATCTTCTTCTGTACATTCCTGTCGGTTATCTGCAGATGGTGAACAGCCGCCACAAGGCGCTCTAGGTCCTGGGCATGGCCCGCACTCGGCATTCGGACATTCACTTTCATCGGTACAGTCCGTATCACAACAAGGCGGATGGGGTCCAATATAGCCAGGGTTAAATATGATAGGCATAGCGGACTGCCCGTTTGAAGGCAATCTTTAAGGTTAAAGTTGCAATTGATGGCAATCTACTTAAATATATTTGCAAATAATAACACTTACTTTTGAAGATTATTGAAGCAGGTTGGTTCTATTGTACGTGTTGTTGTGTGTTGAGACTATAAAGTAAATACATTTTGTAGCCTGTTACATGGCTGACGGTTTGCTTAAATGAAAACAAACTAAAAGCCTGCCAAAGTCAGCTTTCAATAGAAACACTGCAGACACATTGACCGAATCACAATGGCTTTATAAGCTTGGGAAGCCTGCTGCCCCTGTGCAGACAATGCGTATAATTATTTCATAATCGGGCAACACTTCATTTATGGTGACAAAAGCCTGCAGATGTGCAAAGCCACACCCCGGCGGGAGTCTCTGACCAGCCGATAAATGGAAACCGCCAACAAAAATTGTTTAAGCTGTAAGGAAAAATACTCTGTACACAGATCAGAAGTATTTTAAATTAGATGTATAATCATGATATCGTGATCTTAATACAACTTTTACGTAATTTTCTAAACATAAAAAATGTTTATCTAGGATTTACGTATGCATCAAGATTTCTTATTAATTATATTGTCTATAAATAAGCCCCTAGTGCCTATTACATATTAGGATACCCTTCATTGCCCCAGACATTAGTATAGGGTAACGTTATGGCAACAACACGCACACTGTAAATTTTAAGTTGAAATTAATGAATAATTAAGCTGCATTGGGGACCCATTCGACCCGTTGTTCGAAACGGAAATGCAACATTTGCATAACTAACACAATGAACTACATACGCGAGTCAGTTGAATGAATGCGCTTCGAGTTTGAATGAATGCACTCACTATACATACATGTACTCATATATGTATGTGTGCTGGCATTAGATATGCAAATTCGAATACTTTCATAAACATAATTGGCACATAACGGCAATGCTTTTGTCAATTAATCAATCAATCAACTACGACGACCAAAACGTTCACAATGCCAATAATGAACGCCAACATAATGACGCTCCAGTATGCAGTGCAGGGTATTCTGACGAGCACCAGCCGCAAAATGCACCTTGATGCATGTTAATGTCATCATTTTTGATCAGTCACAAAGTTCAGAATGCAGCAACAACAACAACAACAACAACAACAAGAACGTCAAGCAACGCCGCATCGGCAGAGGCATCTACATCAAACGTTGACATGGCCAGCTCCCGACTAGCGGCTGCTTCTTCTGTTACTGCTGCTGCTGCTGCAGAGCGTCAAAGTCGTGTGCGTTCTCTGTGTAATTCATATTCAAAGCGCGTTGCGACACAGCACGCCGCGCTAACCATGGTTTACTGGGATGAGGGGCGGACTGGGGGTAGAGAGTTACTCTAGCGTAGGCGTCTGAGCTCCCCCTGCTATCCAGTTTGTGCAACCGCACGCACTGCTTTTAAGTGGCGGCCACTGGCCAGCGTGTGCCTCATTGCGTTGCACGTTGTGGGGCGCTGCTCGTAGCTCGGATTACTTTGTCAATGTGTGAGTGTGTGTGTGAAAGAGTGTGTGCCTAGTCGATAGTTCGTTGCGGCTGGCGTGGCACTTGTGATCCGCTGTGGCGCTTTGTCTTTTTAGCGCACTCAGCAAATCCACATTGCAATATACACTGAGCGAAATTTAGAAGTTAGAACGGGACGATTTGTATAGTGAATTAGCGAATAATTGTGGTCAATAAATATATACGATTTGGTTGTAGCATAGTCAATTCCTATATGGAAGGAAACTCCAAGAATTCCAAATATGTAAAGCCTTTAAAATTTATATAAAAAGGTCATCAAAATTTTGTTGATAAAAAAATATGTGGTAATGAATACAACACATAACATATGTAAATATTAAATAATATTTTTTATATATGATTAATATGATTAATGATATATTTATGATATTTCAGAGTTATAATAAAATAAGTGAATGGAATATAACGCCCATTATACGATTTTTTATTCTTTTATTATTATTTTCATTACTTCTAAAAATTATTCATAAACTGAGATAAATTCTTATGATGCAAAGGCATAATATACACCCATTAATAATATATTTACACATTTTTATAAACTTTTCTTGAAGCTAGTAAATTGTTATTAATCCTAAGAACTATCTGCAGAGTTTTAACAACACTACACTTGGTGCAAAAACAAATAAACAAGCTCAGAAAAATTAAAAAAAAAAATAGAAAAAAGAAAAACCTATCGACTCTGTCTATACCACATCCGTTTCTAGGTCTCCGCAAAGCGAGTTTCTTTCTTTTTTTTTCTACTTTTTTTAATAATTCCAGTTCTTGTTATAGTGTTGTACGGGTAGTTCCTGGGTGCCTCGGTCTGGCCACGCGCAGCGGCCACTTGTCTCGTCGTAACTGTTTGAAATATGTTGTGGAGAAATGACAAAGTGACCGGAAGATGATACTGTAATAAAACAAACACACAACCAACTGGTGGGCCACACTCTGGTGCGGCCCCATGTTCATGTTTGTCTAGGAAATAGCCGAAGCGCAAGTACGACGGGTGCCCATACTGGAAATGAACATTGGCAACTGGACAATGTTTTATATGCTGTACGCTGTGCGTTTTCTATTTATGTTTCTTTTCATTATTGTATTTTTTTCTTCTATTTTTTAACCATTTATTTACAAATGAACAATATTTATGGCCTCTTTTTGAGCTCTAACTACGTTCCGAAGCTTCTATACTGTCTGCTGTGCAGCCAACTTCCGTTCTGGTATATGGCAACTGTCTTTTTTGTTTTGTGTTCATAATTTTGTGGTTTTATTTTCGGTATTGCGTATGCGGCATATGAAAATAGAATTTTGTTTGGCGTAGAGTATTTAAAAAAAAGTACGACAATAAATTTGAGTGTTTTTGGTATGGTTTACCACGTTCTTGGCATAAAAATTCGATGGCTCAATCTCTATAAAAATTATGATAATTTGCCAGCAATTATGTGTTGCCAATAAATAGAAAAGATATCAATTTATTATGTATACTGCGTAGAGATACAATCTGAGGTGCGATTATTAAAATAACCATTTTATGGACAAGTTGTCTTTATAAATCTTCTTCCATCGATAAAGATGACATATTTATGTTGATGTATGGAAATTATATTTCGAAATATGTTTCTATACAAGGAAAATTTTAGGTGACAATTATCAATCGAAATGTTTTTGATTACTATAAAAAATTGTTGGTGCGATAAGGAGCAGAATATGTTAGGGCCTCGACTCAATTCTAAAAAGAATATATTTGGATAATCACAGCTTTTAAACGTGCAAACGATTTCGATTAATCTAAAGCTTAGCTGAAGCCAGGGAACAACCCAACTATTTAAAACCCGACCATAATTAGAGTTGTCATGGGAAAAATTTATTACGGCCAATTGGAGTTGCCATCAAACTGGGACCACTAAATGCCAGCACTTAAGCGATCATAACTTTGGCCATGATAAATCGAACTGGAATCGCCCGCAGAGGCCACTCAAATCGTATGCAAAAAACCATCTGGCAAGTGGTTAGAGACGAGAAGTATAAGGAGGAGGCGTGGCTTAAGAGCAAGAACCTGAATGTTGAATGGAGGCAGAGGCAGAGGCAGCTGGCATTGAACGAATTGGTCTGCCGTTGTCTTAGCAATCAGCGCTACCGGGCATGGAAAGTTAACACAGAGTCCCCCCCAAAAACCGGATTCGGTTTCAATTGACGCTGCGGCACTTGGCGCGTTCAACTCTTGCCAGGATGGACTGCGGCGGATGTCAGCTCGGCGACTAAGGGGTGCTGCGGCTGTGGCAGCTTCTAAGCGCCTTGTTGCAACGCCTGTCTCATCGGCTGGCTGGCTGGCTGACTGTGTGGAGAGGGCGCATTCAAGTTGAAATTGCCGCAATTGCGTGTCGACCACAATCTTAACCAGCAGAAGCAGCAGCACAGGCAGCAACGCACCCAGCCAAAAGTTCTAGCTGACTGCTTGCCACTGGCAGCGTCTTGGTGTGCTACCTTGCCCCTCACGGTTTCTCCTGCTGGTGCTACCTGTCCGTCTGCTAGTCTGTTTCCTTTTGTTTTAATGAATAAGTTGGAACACCTGCTCCTTGGTCGTTGCTTGTTGAGATCTTTCCCTGAAGTCTGTCTGTCGCCGGGACATGTTGCTCAAGTTTGACGCCGCGTATGTGTTCTATCTTTCTGTCAGGCAGGCTCTTCCCATTGTTAATGCGCTACATATGTTGTGCGGCATGTGAGTTTTAAACAAGTTGCACGACAACAAAACTGTCTGTCAGTTCATCAGTAATTGTCATTGTACTACAACTAACAGAAAGTTTTTCTCCGTAGTTATTTTGAATGTCGAGTTATTCACAAGGAATTTTATTTTCTCTGAAGGCTAAGTTGTTGCTTGATGGCGCTTTTACTACACATGAGCTATTTCAAATGGAGCACAAGGAAGGCCATAAATAAGGCCTGCTCGATTGCACAGAAACTTAATCATTAGATTAGACTTGGACCTTTTACTTGTAGTTGCACTGCGGGGCTATTTACAGCCTTGATCGATAAATTCGATAATCAAAAACACCTAAGTTAATCGAAAAAAGTTATCTTTTCGCCAACCAGCGATTATTACTGTTATCGAAAATATTGATAATCTATTATTTGAGGCACAATCAATACCTGTAGATAATTTAAACTGTAAGATTATTAACTTTCTTTTTTTGGTATACACTACTAATCTACTCTATCAATAGACGATAGTCGACATAATGCGAACTCTTTAAAACTATCGAAAGGCCACAATCAACTCAAATAATATTTTATATACATATGTACTTCCCCCTCAATCGGTAGTCGATAAGAACGTTCATTGATATTCCGATAACTAAACTTTGTAGATAGATTCTTTTGTATGTAAATTTCCATTTCCATTATTGTTCATCGATTTATCGTAAATATAATCGATAGCACGCAGACTTTGTCAACTATATATACTTAAATATATAAATGTAGACCAAAATATATTTTTAAAATATTAAAAAAAAATAAATTTATTAATCAGCGCATTCACTTATCGAGTAGTCTCGATTGTGTTTTCTTATTAATTTTTTTTATATTTGAATTGACACATGAGACGTTTGATAAGCTTGCCAGCTTAGTCTGCATTTGATGCTTTAATTTGCGTTATTTGCGTTGGCAGCAGGCTGGAAGAGCGACTTGCCCGCAAAGTCAATAAATAACCTGTTCAAATGTCGTTAAGCGTAAATCTGTGATACGGCCGAGACCGCATGTAGCTACTCGAGACTTATAATTTTCATTCATTAAACTACGCCACACCTGGACGCCCTCCCCTCTTAGCTGGGTAGGCAACCCTGACATTGAAACCGGCTGTTAGCTGCGG